CAAACATCTCTCCTAGGTCCTTGAGATGGTCATTTTCATCCTTGCTTTTGACCACCATGTCGTCGATGTAAGCCTCCATCATTCTTCCTAACAATGGTTCAAACATCTTGGTGACCATTCGTTGGAATGTTGCCCCTGCGTTTTTCAGGCCAAAGGGCATGACCTTGTAACAGTATAGTCCTCTCGGAGTTGTAAAGGATGTGACCTCCTAGTCTGGTTCATGCATGGCGATTTGGTGGTAGCCTCTGTATGCATCCAGAAAGCTAAGTCGGTTATGTCCCACCGTTAGGTCAACTAGTTGATCTATCCGTGGTAGAGGAAAGCTGTCTTTTGGGCACGCCTTGTTGACTGTTTTATAGTCGACGCAGACACGCCATTTGCCATTCTTTTTTGGCACTACGACTGTGTTAGAGATCCATCTTGGGTAGTGCACTTCTCTAATTGCTCCTACCTCTAGCAGGTTACCTACTTCTTCCGCCACTATCTCGGCGTGGTGGAGTGCCGATCTGCGTGTGCGTTGGATGATTGGTCTGGCGGATGGGTGGACATTGAGTTGGTGACAGATGAAGTTTGGATCAATGCCTGGCACGTCGTAGGGTGTCCAGGCGAACACTTCGATGTTAGAGGTTAAGAATTCCAAGACCTCTAATCTGTCAGTGCTGGACAACGACGAACCAAGCAAAAAGAACTTATCCGGGTTCTTTTCATCTATTCTTACCTCTACCAAGTCCTCCACTGCTTTCTGATCAGCTGCTTTGCCGACATCTGCGAAGAGCTCATTACTCTCAGGTTCTTCCACCGAATGAACGTATTCTTTGGCAGCGCGGCTGCCATTCACCGTGACGAAGCATTGCTTCGACATGATCTGATCTCCATAGACTTCTTCAATTACCCCGGTATCGTTGGGGAACCGCATTACTTGGTGGTAGGATGATGCCACCAATCGCATGGCATGCAGCCATGTTCTGCCCAAGATGATGTTGTAAGTGGAGGGGACCTTCAATACCCAAAACTCCACTTGTTTCGTCACGCTTCCTGCTCTGACTGGAAGAATTATTTTGCCGACGGGCCATTCTGGCATGGAGTTGAATCCAATTAAGGGAGATACGGCAGGCGCCAAGTCTTTGTCTTGCAGCTTCAATTGTTTAAATGTTTCGTAGTACATGATTTCACATGAACTACCCTAGTCAATCAGAATCCGCTTGACGTCAAAATCCTTGACTCGGAGAGTAACGACCAGGGCATCATTGTGAGGGTAATATATTCGTTCCAAGTCTTTATCCGAAAAAGACATGACGTTTGTTGCCTCTGTCTTCCCCTTCTTGATGGTAGGTTGGGCACTTAGCACCTCTCTAAAGTGTTCCGCTTTTTTGATTGATCCCCTGAGCTCACATACACGCTCAGGTTCAAAGACACCATGTATTACATTGATAATGCCTTGAGGTGGGGCGTCGATTGGCATCCCATTGGGGTTATCATGGTCCTGGGGGGCTGGTTGCGTCCCTCCTTCAATGTATTTATCCAAGTGACCTGCCGCCACCAACTCCTCTAGGTGCTGTCTCAATGGTGTGCAATTCTCAGTGCGGTGCCCCTTTTCTTTATGGAAGGTGCACCGCGATCTTTTGTTGTAGTCTTTCTGTGCTTCTCCCAGCTTAGCTGGCCACTTGACGAAAGGCTCATCTCTTATTTCGCTCAGAATCTGATATATCGATTTCTTGAACACCGTGGTTATGGCAGTGTGGATTCTCAACCATCTTTTATCCGGGTCTTCTCCGTTATCTCGCCTGCCACGTCCGTTTCTGTTCGGTCGATCTACCGTATTAACCTTCGCTGAGGTCTTCTTTTCTGGTACTGTGGTCGCCCCAGATTTTGCTTTGGCACGTGCGCCATCCTCTTCTACCCTGATGTGCTGATGCACTCTTTCTATCAGGGCTTCCAAAGTGAGGGGTGGCGTCATGGTGATCGAGTCCCTTAGTCTGTTCCCCACCGGAAGGCCTCTTTTATATTGTGCAATGGCGAGATTGGTGGGGCAATCCCCAATCTGATTGAATGTCTCCCAGTAGCGACTGTTGTAGGATCTTACGGTCTCTTTATCACCCATGTCGATGGAGAGTAGCTGATCGATCTCCACCGGGGTTTTAGTGTTTGTTCGGAACCGTGTTACGAATGCCTCTGCCAATTGCGCCCAAGAGGTTATGCTGCCCTCTGGAAGTTTCTCGAACCAAGTCAAGCCTAGGACAGCCATGACTTGGCGAAAGTGGCTCAAGTGTGAATAGGGGTCCGTCTTCCCTTCATATGTAGTGAATTTGGGCTGAAGGAAGCCTGATGGTAGGGGCGCGTTTTTAATCGCCGGAACAAACGGCGAAGTCTGCAGCCTTGCTAATGCTCTGTCCGTTGGTTCGTAGGCAAGGCGCGGTATTGGCATTCCAACCTCAACGCTTCCATGCGTCCGAGGAGCCAACCGCTATAAGGCAGAAACTCTGTGTGGATCCCGTGCCGTGGCATCCTCCTTGCATCGTGCCTTTTCTTCGAGCACGGTTCGTAAGTCAGATGATCTGGGTAACTCCATCTGTCTAGATCTGGTTTGGTGCGTATGTGAGGGCCAATACGTGCTTCCTTCAGTGTATGATCTTTCAGATCTCGTCTTCTCAGACCTGGAGTGACGAGTTCTGGAAGACCTGGATTGAGTATCGCCTGTCCTGAGGCTTCTGCTCTCTCCTTGCGAGGGTGTGGTATTCCTACTAGGATTTGCTGAGTGGCGAGGGGGCGTCTTGTTTTTGCGCCCCTCTCCTGTCGCCACTTCTTTTCTCTTCATCTGGCGCTTCAAGGCCTCCATGTCCGCCGCCATCTTTCTTATTAATTCATCTTGCTGCTTCACGCGGTCTTCCAGAGCTTGAGGATCAATCTTTTGCCTTTGCCTGTCAGGACTTTGCGAACAAGAGTGACGGGGGCTGTTAGTCCGCCTTCCCCTAGTATCCCTCCTGGTGTTATGTCGTTGGGACTCTAAGTCCGCCATGGGAGGGATAGAAGGTAATCCTTCATGCCTTGCACCCCCATCTGGAGTTTGCCCATCGATGGCGGATTTTGGCAATTCTTCAATGTGTGCCATTGTTCCTAAAGAGGTAAAGCTTGATCAAGAGGTTTCGTCCTGTCTATTCTTCCCACAGACGGTGCCAATTGTACGGGAAAGAAATAAACCTTCTTGTATAATCCTGTTGACCAAGTCTGCGCTCCTCTGTACGTCGTCGCTTTATCACCTGAAAACACAAACGTGAGCTAGCCGGCGGGTGTGTGCCGGAAACCTCTCCGATGCCTAAGTCAGTAAGCTTGACAAATAGACAAAAGCTCTGTGTATTCAGAAAGCAAAGTTGTGTGTTACCTCCCCAAAAGTGATGTTTGTGAGCTTTTATGGGTTTCGTGTGGCACAATCCTAGTAGGACTTCTACTCCTCCATGCAGAGTCCTCTTAGGATTCATACTCCTGAAAGATAATGCTTATCATTCAATACCCCCCTCACTGCTTAAACCAAGTGAGATGGTTTTATCATGGCCGAACTCCAATATAACCGAAGTTATTATTTTTAAAAACAAATTTATTTAAAATTTTAATTAAAAAAATAATATAAATTTTTATTGATATTTTATTTATTTATTTATTTTTTAAAAAATAAATTTATTTAATTGTGTAAAAAATAAAATAAATTTTTTAATTTAATCTAGCTAAAAATAATTAAAATATTAAAGATATGTTTAATATTGCTATTACTCAGTAAAAATTAAAAAAGGGTAAAATAGTCTTTTGTTCATTTATCCTATCCAGTCCGTCCAACCAAACGTTGGATTTACTAAAAATAACCCTTTCCAGACATCTAATCTCATGAAAAAACTAACATAAGATACATATCCAATCCAACCAAATAGTCCGAGAGATTCACAATCCAAAACTCAAGTCCGATAGATTCTAATTCCCCTTATCTAGTCTGTCCAATCAAACACGCCCCAAGTGTAGTTGCCTTCCACTTTCCATCGATTTAACACGTTTCGGTGCAAAGAAAATCAATTTTTTGAACTATAGATTGGGTTTGCACAAGCTACCTAGCTCGGCACGCGTTGACGTGGACTTGGACTTATCAGTGCAGAAAAAAGTCAAATTTTTTTTTTTTTTAATTCGTCATTTTTGAAGTTCATGCATCTACTGAAGAGAGGGACATCATAAGCTAAATGCCTAATGCTACAAGTCTTGGGACTACTACCACTTGGAGCTGAATTTCAATAATGGAAGAAAGAAGAAGAAGATAACAAAATGCTTCAAGGCCTGCTAGGTCCGTTGTAACATTCACACTTGTCCATTATATCTCAAGATTATCACATTACAAAATTTTCGATGGTCTAATAATTATGAATATTTTAATCAGGGACAGAGAGACTAGAGGTTACTTTACCATCTCTCACCATCCATGTTATACTTCAGTACTTGCACTTCAAATCTCATTTGAAAACTTCAGATTTTTGCCTTCTAAGTAAATTCTGCTTCAATGAGCAACACTGATTTCAAATCAAAACAGAAAAAGTAGAGTTGCCACATTTATGTGATTCATAAGATATTCATGAACCCATAGCAGTTCAGCTTAAAGGGGAATGATAGAGATTAGTGTGGATCCACCTACTTTATTATTGGGTAATTAAAATAATTGCAATTTTTATTAAAATTCACATCGATCTGCGTTGGGTACAAATGAAAATTGTAACACGACTCTCACTTTTTGAATTGTTGCCATTAAAACACAAATTTCCCTTAATTTAAAAAAAAAAATTATAAAATGAAAAAAAAAATTAAAAGGTGAAAAATAACTCCTTGATTAAAGACCATTTGCCGAATTGATTTTAATAGATTTATAAATTTATCCCTTTTATATCTAAAATTTTATTGAGAAAATTATACACTTGGATAATTCCTTTCAAAGCCAAAGATAAAAAGTAAAGAATCAACATAATTCACGCATACAATCATCACATATTACAAAAGTACGCATTTTTAATTATTCAAATTTGAAATTTACTTTGGCCAAGCTTGATTGTTCTTGCTTAGCACCCGGTGATCACCTACCTTTTTTTCAAGCACTTGAGATGCAGCATTCATGGGAGGTCGCGATTGTGGATCAACATGTATGCACCACAGTGCTAGCTTCACAATGGAATTCAGTTCATCTTCAATTTTTTGACCAGAAGGAGGCGAAAGACAATGATCTAACACATCTTCAAGTTCTAGTCTTTAATCAACCAATGATTTTAGGCTTGAAATAAGTTCTCCTGGATGTGATCCCATCAAAACTTCAAGTGCCAAAACCCCAAAGCTATACACATCACATTTTTCTATCACTCCCATTGTGTATGCCAATTCTGTAATAAAAAATTTCAAATAAAATGGTTAGATTTCACTGATAAAAAGAACTGATATCATTTTTATGAATTTATTGAAGTTACCTGGCGCGAGATATCCATATGTGCCTACAACCGTGGTCCAATGTGAGGAATTAGGCTTCAACAACCTTGCAGTGCAAAAATCCGAGACATGAGCCTCAAGTTCCAAGTTCAACAAAACATTCTTGCTCGATATGTCACGATGAATTATTGGAGGCATGCAACTATGATGTATGTAACACAAAGCATGAGCTACACTTAAAATAACTTCCTCCCTCTTGAACCAATCCAACTCCTTTGCTTCCTTATCACTGCTCAACACATTTGCCAAGCTTCCTCTTTTCATGTACTCATAAACCAAAAATGTGTGCCTTTCATGAGAGCAATAGCCATAGAGTTTCACAATGTTTCGGTGCCTTATTTCTGTTAACGTGACTATCTCATTCGTGAAGCTCTTGCAATCCTCAATCTCCATTGTTTCGGTTGTGGTGCTCAGCTTTTTCACCGCAACAACTTGGCCGCTTGGTAGCTTAGCATTGAAAACTCTTGCTGACCATCCTACCCCAACGCAATACTCATCATTGAAATCTTCTGTGGCATTGATGATGTCCTCATACACAATTCTCCCATCAAAATTCCAAATTGAAAAGAGGTTTTCGTTATTTGATTGGGACTGGTATTCTTGCACACTCACTTGGTGTCCTCTGCGGTAAAGTGCAATGATCCCAACAACCATGAATATGAGAAATAGTAACAAAATGGAAGAGGTGATGACAATTACGACCATACGAGTGTGTTCACTTTTATGGCTAGTATTTTTGGGAGATGATGATGTGTTACATGACCTCAATCCTTGGATTTCACCACATAAATCTTTGTTAATAGCAAAATATTTCAGAGAAGAATGAAAGGCCTTGGTATTAGGAAGAGGACCCTCAAGATCGTTGTAAGACAAGTTAATGGACAACAAGCTAACCATGTCAACTACAGAATTGGGTATGGAACCAGAGAGATTGTTGTGGGAGAGATTCAAATTTTCAAGATTTACAAGCTTTCCAAACTCAGACAATATCTCTCCAGTGAGTGAATTGTAACTCAAATCAAGCAAAGTTTGTAAGGCTACAAGATAACCAATCTGGTCTGGGATTGAACCATTCAAGCCATTCTTGCTCAAACTCATGAACTGTAGTTTTATGCAATTCCCAATTTGATTTGGAATTGGACCACTTAGCATGTTCTGTGATAGATCCAGATATCCCAAATTGGACAATGCTCCAATTTGTGAAGGTATTTGACCGAAAAGTTTGTTAGCGTTTAAGCTTAAGTAGCTTAATTCAGTTAAATTTCCAAGTTGTACTGGTATTTCCCCAGAAAGTTGATTAGAAGAAAGGTCAAGAACAACCAGTTGGTTCAACTGAACTATTTCTTCGGGGACTCTCCCAACAATCATATTCCCAGCAATTCTCAGCAGTGTCAAATGCCTGGATTCTCCTTTTAGAAAATTATTTTGAGAGAGAGTTTTAGAAAAAGTGATTGATTTGATGTGTATGAGAAAGAGATTTGTTTGGAAAACTTGTAAACCAAACAAGTTTTGAGAAATTTTTTTAGAAAAATTTGTTTGGTTTGATTACTTTTGAAAACTTATTTGTAGAGAATTTTTCTCAAAAATTTTTGGTAAACACAAACCAAACAAGGAGAGCTCCTCCTTGTTTGGTCATTGCTTTGGAGTAGAGGTTTGGTTTGCTCCGAGGCGGTTTTTTGATTTTCTGAAACACAAAGTACGAAAACTTATTTGATTTGTCTTTTTTCAGAAATGGTTTTAGAAAATTATTTTGGGAAGAGAGTTTAAAAAAAAGTGATTGATTTGATGTGTATGAGAGAGTGATATTGAAAAGTATGTAATCAAACAAAATTTTGAAATTTTTTTTGAAAAAATTTATTTAGTTTGATTACTCTTGAAAATTTGTTTGTAAAGAATTTTTTCCAAAATTTTATTCGAGAAACAAACCAAACAAGGCCAAAATGCTTTTTGTGTTAGAACTTAAAAAGCAAATCTCATCTCATTCGTGGGTAGGACAAACCGAATAGAAATATGAATAATGTTTGAGAGCCACAATTTGCGTGGCTCAAATGGCTCAAAACTGTCAAAACGACGTCGTTTTGGCATGTTTTGTGCTCAAAACGACGTCGTTTTGACAGTTTTAAGCCATTTGAGCCACAAAAATTGTCGTTTTGGCATGTTTTGTGCTCAAAACGACGTCGTTTTGACAGTTTTAAGCCATTTGAGCCACAAAAATTGTGGCCCTCTACCATTGCCCTAGAAATATAACTACATATTCACTAATATTTTACACATTTTTTTAATATATTTTTAATTTTTTTCTCAAATCTATGAATCAAATATGATCATAGAATTGATGATCATTGTCAGTCAACATGAATTTTCGATGGCGAGCCATATATCGGTTCAACCAAAAAAATATTACTTATTAACTGATACAATTAATACATTACGGCTTATTTTTAACTTGAGATCTTATTATTTAATAATAAACTAACATGTAACATAATAACTTTTAGATATATTAGTTACAAAATTATCTTGAAATAAATAAGGGGAAATTACCATTAATTGGAAATTTTATAAAATTATTACAAATTCATTGAAAGACTTATGATTTGAATTATTAATATTTACAAAATTTATCACTTATTTATAATTATTTTTTAAGACTTGTACTGATTTGAAATTTTCCCAATAAATGACTACATTTGAACAGTGGAGGCCTTTGATGCCAACTTAATTAGAATGGTTTAATTTTGCTATGATACTTCTTCACCCTTCGTATTGATTCTTATCTTGTACGTTTATTTGTATCAATAAAAAATTTTCGCTATTCAAAAAAATAAATAAATTGGTACAACTTATTATAAAAAAATAAAAATTGATAATCATAAAGAGGAATTCAAAATATTTTTCTCTAAACTTTTAAATAATCAATTTATATAAATTATTTCAGTAGAAGTTAAAAAAAAATAAAATAAATAAAAAAAAACAATACGTACCACTACAAAGGAAAAACATAAAGGAGCGAGTCTGACTTTATTTATTTATTTATTTTTGTTTTTAATCGGCAAGTGTGAATTGTTCTAATCAAGCGATCCTACCAGATTAACCGGAGAGAAAAAGACTTCAAAAAATCTCCTTTCTTGACCATACTACTGCCTAGTTGTGGGCGACAATAAATCAGAAATTAAATCATCGGGTAGGAATAAAGTTATTCGCAAAAAAGTCATAAATAAATTTATTATGAAAAATAATAATATTTAATGGATAATTATTCGATAGTTGCAGAGTACGGTAACTTGAAGTTCTATAATAATATGATTGGTGGAGAAAGTAGAATATTAATTATTTGTATTGGGTTGTTGAGAAATATGAGAGATATAATAAATGATAATTTATAAGAGAGTATGACGATGTGGTATTCCGAAATTATTATATAATTTTTTTTTATTCAAATTTAATTCATAGATTTTGGGTAATGAATATAATTTACTCAATATTTTTCTATCTATCATTTTTTTTTTCTTTTTGGGTACATTGAAAAGGAATCTATCTATCAATATCATTGTTCTGATTAGAGGCCTTGAACTATAATCTACAAGAATGACTTGTTTCTAATTGAAATTTTAACTGTACCAAATAGTTGAGGTTTCTGACAAGGAAGAGTCATTAAACAGAAAATTCTGACTGGAAAAAATCATTAAAAAGAAAACTCTTACCGCTCATTAAAAATTTTCAAAGACTAGTAAAAGTCTTCCGTTTAATGATTTTTTCCGGTTAGAGATCTCAACTATCTGAACAAACCAAATCCAATCTACAAACTATCTTCATAGATTGTCAAGTTATTATTGAGAACTCAAAATTATGAGATGGCCTTTGAGAATTTAATCAATGATCATACTGTAGACCAATCTTCACTGTATTTAAATAGATTAAATTCTGTTGTGTACTAAACAACAACTAGAATATAAAGAAATAAAAGAAATGAGAGAAAAATGTTTGATTACAAAAATAAAATTAGAAATAGAATTAAATAAATAAAAACAGGTTTTATTTTGTTACCAAAACAAAATTAAAATCTGATTTAAGTAATAAATAATAATAAAATCAGAAAATAAATAAATAACTTACTTGATTAATATCTTGAATATTATTTTGATCAAGTCCAGTGTTTGACACTATGTCCTTAAGACAGATTCGTCCTCTCCACGATGCTTTCAGAATGTGGACGTCTATCTCCCAAGATGAAATGATCAACTACAAACAATAGCAGCACTACAAATTGTTTGCCTAACGAACACACTAAGTGTTTATACTCTCTCATAGAAGAAAATAATGTAGCAATATGAAGAGAATGTTTGCAGAATTATGAAGGACGAAAATTAGAGTTCCAAAATCCAAATGAGGGACTGCCTATTTATATATGTAATGGTGGCTGTAGGTTTTGAATTGAATAGGTATGAAACATGTTGGTTTTGAATTCAAACAGATTTGAATCTGTTGGATTACAATTCAAACAGATAACAAAAATGGGAAGGGTCTTGTTTGGGTGTACAGTAAATCCGGATCAGATTATTTCCGGTTTAATACGGGAAGGGCCCTGTTTGGATGTACAGAAAAACCAAACCAGTTTAATTTGAATTCTGGATTTTATTTTACCAAAAATAAAATTAAATTCAAATATTTTTGACCCAAAAAGATTAGTAATTGGGTCCGGACAAGCCCAACCCAACCTCACACCACGCCATCCGACGCCCAAGCCGTAGCCCAACCCAGGCCAGTCCGCCCCGCGCGACCGCATAAGGTAACGGACCCGGCTAAGCGTGACGCTGGACGCGCAGTGTGTGGTGGATTTTTGGGTCCAATGGACTCTAGCCCATTTGGCATATAACTCCTCTCTAAACATTGCGGGTAACCCTTGCGGGCAAACATCCCAAAGCTTCAATCCATGTCTTATTAAACCCATTCACACCAACTACTCGCCCACGCCAAATAATCGTGGGACAAGCCTTATTCAAAGCCTTTGACAGGATTATCTCAAGCCAATAAGCCTCGCGGATTGTGCACTAGCATGAGAGATGCAGTACTTTGGCTTTCAATTCTTCTCATTCAGCGCTTGGTAAGGTTTTGATCAACCAAAATACCACAGTGCGGTGATGCCAGTTCACAACGCGGCAGTCAACGCGATTACCATTTGACCCAGCGAAATCGACACGCACGGGGC